GGGGGGGACGTAAAGAAGCAGAAGCCCTCGCCTCGCAAGGACGCCCCCCTCCTCTTCCCGGCGCCTTTGTGTTTGTGGCGGGTGTCTGGCGGTGGCGCGTCCAATCGCAGCCCGGCGCGGCCCGGCTGACAGGCGGCGGAGCGCGCACCCCCGCGCCCCGCTCAGCTGGGGAAGGGACGGGCGCCGCAGGGTGGCAGCCCGCGCCCCTGCTGAGGCCGGGGTGCTCACCGTTGCGGGGAGGGGGCAGAGAAGCCCTCTCCGCGCTCCCTGTACTTTTCCCAGCCTCCGCCCCCCACCCGCCTTTGTCTCTCCAACTTTTCTACAAATGTATTCTACGCTGTGCTCTGTCAGGTTCTGCTTCTCTGGAAAAGTCATTCCAACTAAAGAAGAACTGAAAACGTTAAATTTTAAAAACGAACAAATGAATAATCAAACCTATCGTCTACAGGAAGAAGAAAGACGTTCCTGTAAAGCATTTAAAAAATGATTTCTAACAGTGATGATTCAGGGACAGAGACTGTGTTACCTGAAAGGACTTTCTTACTACGTAGTAGTGAAATTCACCATTAGTTACATTCCCTGTTTACCCAATTCAGTTCTTCTTCGTGCATAAATACTATGAATAAGCAAATCTAAATTTATTGTCCTGATTTTTTTTTTAACCCTCTTAGAACACAAAACGAAATATGTTATTTACGTTAATGTTCAGTTAGGAATCTTGACGATCAATCTGTAATTGGCAATTGAGAATGCAGATTTTAACTCCCTTTATCCCTTTTGAGAGCGACTTAAATAAAGACAAAACATGGGTGTTACAGGGGAGAAGGGTTCATAAGTTAAAATTTGTCACATACCCTTGCTTAACCTTGAAGAAGTTGTTCTGAGGTCTTTTTCTCAGTCTGTAAAATGAGGGGCTTGGCCTCACATCTCTTGAGCTCACCTGTTCTTATAATTCTCTAATGCATATAGATGTAAATCACTAATGGAGATAAAGCTACAGAACAAAATTAACATGTGTCACAAGGTTACAACAGATATGTTTACAGAGACTTTAAATAGTTTTCAGTTGTTTCAAGTTTGATCCCATATCATAACCTGAGGATGGATTTAACTGTCATTAGGTGGGGGGGTCCTTTATTTTTGAAGTGGAACAACGTGAACTCCTTAGCATGTCTATACTATAGAATAAGTAGCCTTATTTTAAACTGCTAGTTCATAGTACATTATTTCCTTTGTACAGACATGATGGTAAAGCTTACTATAAATATTAGGCACAGCATCCCAGTAGATAAGCATTCATTAGTTGAATCATTGTGACCTGATTCATAGGACAATTGGTTTAAGTAGGACTATTTTTACCATGAATTAAGACAAACTAAAATCTGTAGGCTTCATTTGATTTTAAAAAAAAATTTTTAATGCACATGGATTTGGGTGGTTTTAGATCAAATTGTTTAAAGAAATAATTTCACAGTCAATCAAAAAATATTGAACATCTACTGTATGCTCAAAGCTAAATGATACTTTAATAAGGCCCTTTCCAATTGTCCTTGCCCTCCTTTCCTCTACAGTCTAGACAGACAAATCCACATAAAACAGCCTGCAGTGCAGTGCTGTGCTTTCATATTTACCGTATGAAGGAACTGCTGTGTGGGAGGACCAAATGAGTAATTTATCTTTATACTACTTACAGGCTCTAATTGCTTAAATGGAGTAAGTTAGAGGGTCTCTCTAATGACCCTCTTATGTTTGATTTCAGTGTTAAATATTAAGTAAACAAATTCTGAAAATAACTTTTCTGTTATCTGTTTATGCCATTCCTGTACCACTGCTACTCTTCCTGCTGTGTTTTCACAACAGTTAATTTCACTTTGATATTCATTTTTCTTAATTTATTCATCTGAGAAATTTTTTGTCTTTTATCTAGGATGAGTACCATAAGGTTCTGATTTTTTTTTTTTGTTCTTTAGACCATATCACAGCTCTTTAAAGCAGTTTTACTTGTCACTTATTAACAGCTCAGGTAAGAGTTTTAGGAAAAGTAGAAACTACATTCAAAGTCATTTTTTTTTTCCTTCAGTGATGAAGGATAAGATAACAAAAATTTCAATTCTCAGTCTTTAAAATTTTTTGCTAACTATTTCAGCTACCAAGAGCCTAAAGAGTAAACTGGGTAACACAGATTTGCATTTACTTCCCCACCCACACTCTATAGGACTCACTAGGAGAGTAAAAGGAGGGGAGAGTGAGACTGATCCTTACTGAGCACCATTTGTTGTGCCAAATACTGTACTAGGCATTGATAGTCAAAAAATGCTGGCTGTGATGGTCTCTGTCAAAGCTTCCTTCTGAATACCTACTGAGTGAAGTAGAGGAGGAATTGGTTTGGAGGTA